CCAGCTGCTCCTGCTGGCCCTCATGACCGTCCTCTTCGCCGTCTGCTCCTTGCCCATGATCGTGAGTAGTAGCCCGGCCAGGGAGAGCGAGGGAGGGAGGGAAAGATGGCACGCTTGCCCGCGCGCAAACACAGACACACACACACAAAGACGCACCACCCGGCAGTTCCTGCGATGGTGCGATGCACTGAGGCTTCAGGATCGGAGCGCTCTCCACCTCTCCAGGTCATCAGGTGCCACCGTCGTCTGCTCTAACCAGTTAGGGAGTTTTTCCTGATACTCCGCTGAAATCTGGCGTCCTGTCACTTGAGCCCATCCTTGCAGGTCCTGCACTTCTGGGATGGTGAACAGATCCTGCCCCTCCTCTGGGTGACCGCCTTTCGAGGCTTTGAAAAGTACCAACCGATCTCTCCCCCCCCCCTTCTTGTCTCAAGGCGACACCTGCCCAGTTCTATCAGTCTTTCCTCCTCTTGGGCGTTGGTTTCCGGAGGAGAGGATCCATCCTTAGCCGCAGTTCTTCTAAACTGTGCAGGTTGCGTTCCCAAGCTGGCACCTGGCATGCGCCACCACCTCCTTGAGGAGTGGAAATCTCCATACATAGGTGGTGGACTTAAGAAAGAAAGAAGGAGCACTGGGTTTCAAAGAAATTAGAGAAATTATTGGGTATGATATTCAAATGTCACCAATTATTTTCCTTTTAAATGTAATTAAGAATGACCATCTTTAAAAAAGAATGAAAGGGGGTTATTGTTACAATGGTCACAACAGCAAGACTGATATTTGCAAAAAAATTTGGAAAAATAACAAGCAAATTAATCTTGAAGATTGGTATAAGGAAATGTGGAGTTTAGCGATCAATGATAAGTCAGTGTGTGAAATACTGTAAAAGGAAGAAGGGGAGTGGCAAAATATAATGCTTTCAAAGAGGTATGGAATCCATATTTGAACTCTGTTTTTGTCAAAGGGAGAGGCTGTAAGCCAACAGAAGAATCAATGGTTGTTGTTGTTGTTGTTGTTGTTGTGTTTGTTTGGAGTGGAAGGGGGGGTGAAATGAGATTAAAAGGATATGTTTGATTATCTGGTCCCAAAGGTGACGTTGGCACAGGCGGTAATTTTAGTAGTATTGTATTGTATGGTATGTATGTACACACATTTTATGTTATGGTTGTTATTATTCTTTTTCTTTAATTAAAACAAGCAAACAAACGAATGGAGATCTGCCACCAGACTACATCACATGCTGGCCCAGTGTTGCTCTGATGCAGAGCCTGGCAAGTGTTTTTTTTAGATGAATTAAGCTGCCACACCTTCTCTTCGTTGCTGCTGCTGCTCCAGCAGACTGGCATGGTTCCCCCCCCCCCGGCAGTTCCTGCCGTGGTGTGATGCCCTGGGTCTCAGAGCATCATTCAACCCCTTTTCCGTTATGAATGGCTTCAATGCGTCCTTAGGACCCCTAAATGTATCCAGTTAGGACACTATAGAAAGCAAGATTCATATACCACATTTTTCCATGTATAAGACACCCCCATGTACAAGATGACCCCCACTTTTCTAACCCAAAATTTCTTTCCTTGCAAGAAAGTAGAGGGGGAAGGCAGGGATCAAAGCGCTTTGATTCCTGCTTTCTCCCTCCACTTTCTTGAAAGGAAAGGGCTTTCCCCCTCCACTTTCTTTGCAAAAAGCTGCTTTCTACTTCCATGTTTTGCAACAAAAGTGGAGGGGGAGGAAAGCAGCTTTTTACAACGAAAGTGTAGGAGCAAAGCAGGAATCGCTTTCTCCCTACACTTTCGTTGCAGAACATAGAGGGGGAAAGCAGGGATCAAAGTGCTTTGATCCCCCCCCTTACTTCCTTGTATAAAATGACCTTCAATTTTTGCTGTCATTATTTTAGGAAATAAAACAGAAAAATATGGTAAACATTATGGAAGCCTCTAAAACTGGCATCCATGTCTGTCCGTCTGCCTTTACCTAAAATGAAAGGCAAAGAAAAGCACCTAGAACAGCTCTGCTTTCCACGTCTCCCAGGTGGGGCGGGTTGGAATCTGGGCTGAAATCCTGCAGGTCCTGCCACTGGTCAGTGTCGGGAGCCCTGCGCTAAATGAGGGAACTGTGTTCAAATCACTTTTGTATTGAGAATCATGAGGTCTAGAGTCTTGCTTTGTTTAAGGCGGCCTTGCTCACTAGTGGAACGCTAGTGAACCAAACGGCTTTTCAACAGAAGGTTGCAGGTTTGAATTGATGCCTCTCTGGTAGAGAGAGAGAGAGAGAGACACACCTCCACCAGCCTGCAACTTTGGAGGGTGCTGGAACGGAAGCCGGAACCATGAGCTTCCAGCTGCTAAACAGGGCTGTTGACAGCAGGACTTTCCAGAGGCCAGTCCTTCATAGAGTCAGCACAAGGTTGAGGAGCAGGAAAGCCCCAAACCTGAGTGCCTTTGTTCTCCTCAGCTGTAACGACGGCAAAGACCCGGCCGATATCTTTTATGACATTCCGTATCAGCTCCCGTTTCACGCAATGCGCAGGAAGCATGTTGTCACTCTGATCTCGCTTCGTGTGCCCCAGAGCAGTGTCTGTAGCAGAAGCCAGGCACAGCGTCGGAGGGGGCTGTGAGATCTGAATCTTTTTCAAAGCCCCCCCCCTCCAGCGAGAAAGATCTCAGCCAGCTGGTTGCCCAGAGGCAGAACTCTTGAGTTCACATACTGGACATTTATTTTTATCTCTCCCCCAAGCTCATCAATGGCATGTGCTTCCCCTTTATATATTTATTTTATTTCTTTTCGCCATAGGTTGGCTCCTGTTTGACTCCTGCCCTGTAATCTCCGGAGGGCGATTAGTAAGCAGGAGCGTGTGGCTAGTCCCTCTCGTTTTCATCTCAAGACTAGTGAGCAAACATTCTTCTGATCTCAATATCACACACACGCAGAGACAAACTGCTCCTTTTTAACGTGAGCTTTGGTCAGAATGAGACGATACAACATCATTTACAGGCAGCCCCTGGACCGGGAGGGAATACAGATAATGGACAAAGTGACAAGGATAAAGGAAGAGGATGACCAGACGGTGAATTTCGTTTCAGTTATCAACCTACAAGAGAATCGCATTGTTGACAAAAGAGGCAGACTGTGGGAATCAGGCCAGGGTTTCACAACTGATATTTAATCCCTTAGAATGCGTCTCCAGCATCTGTATATATCTTATCTCAGCTCTTTCTCTATCAAGTCCAGTTTTGAATGGGTCTTGTTCTAAAAATGTCACTGAGACACTTTCCCGTCTCTTGCATTGCCCCTGCTTTTTTCCCCTTGTTTTCTTTTATTTGTTTCGTTTGTCTGATATGCTTGTGCATATTAACAGGCTAGTTCTCTTGAGCTGAAGTTATAAAGCATTCCCCTTAAAAGATGGGGTTGGATTTTAAGGCTTTTAATGGCTTTGATCCTTGCTTTCCCCTCTGCTTGCTAAGTCCCATGGGGCTTAGCAAAAGGAGCGGGGAAGGATCAAAGCAATCCTATGGCTGTATAAGGGTGAAAGGGATTTGATGTTCACAAAAGAGGAACTTTTCTGAGCTTTGGTGTGCATGTACAAAGTGCAAAGTTCTAAACCTGGCGGGGGGGAATGGACCAAAAACACAGTTACAAGATGGGGGATACTTAGCTAAGTAATACTATAACTGAGAAGGATTTTGGAGTTGTAGATCAAAAGCTGAATATGAGCCAATGGTGTGATGTGGCTGCAAAAAAGGCCAATGTTGTTTTAGGCTGCATTAACAGAAGTAGAGTCTCCAAATCCTACGAAGTGCTAGTCCCCCTCTATTTGACACTGGTTAGCCCTCAACTGGAATACTGTGTCCAGTTCTGGACACCCCCACTTCAAGAAGGATGCCGACAAATTGGAACAAGTTCAGACGTGGGCGACAGGTTTGGAAACGAAGCCCTAGGAGGAAAGACAGAAAGAAATAGGCCTGTTCAGCCTTGAGAAAAGAAGACTGAGGGGAGATAGGATAACACTTTGCAAATATTTGAAAGGCTGTCATCCAGAGGAGGGGCAGGATTTGTTCTCGATCAGCTCTGAGTACAAGACACTCAGCAATGGGCTCAAGTTACAAGAAGCCAGATTGCAGTTGAATATCAGGAAAAACTTCTCAACTGTTAGAGAAGTACAACAATGGAAACAATGACCTCAAGGGGAGGTGGCGAGCGCTCCAACGCTGGAGGCATTCAAGAGAAAATTGGGCAGCCCTCTGTCAGATCTGCTTGGATTTGGATTCCAGCACTGAGCAGGAACTTGATAACCTTAGAGCAGAGGTCCCCAACCCCTGGTCCGTGGACTTGGCAGGACCGGGCTGCACAGGCAGATCTCCCATGCCCTCCTTGCATGCACAGATGCACGCACACCCCCTCAAAGACAAATGCATGCCTCCCCACATGCACGTGTGTGGATGTACACACACAGAGAGAGATATATGCACACCTTCCCACATGCAAACACAGCCTCCACGCACACACAGACACACACACACCCTCACGGACACACACACGCCTCCCTCACATGCATGCACGCATGCACACAGATGGACGCACACAAGGATGATGCACACCCACATGCATGCACGGACGCACACAAACAGTCCCACACACAGCCCCCATGCATGCACAGATGTACTCCCATACACATACACAAATGCACCCCTCACACGCACACTAAACCAGTTCACGGTGTCAAAAAGGTTGGGGACCACTGCCTTTAGAGGCCTCTTCTGACCCTATGATTCTATGCACCATGCGCCCCTTGTTCACTGCCCA